GCTTGAGGACATTGAAGTGGGTCTTTGATTCCCCGTAGTTCTCCATATACCACCCGCATACGCTTAGGTAATATATGTCCAATATAATCTGACGGTCTTCGGCCGCCGACTGGCTGTCGAGCAGCGATCGCAAGCATTGAAGAGCCTTGTGTAGATAGATTTCAGGTCCGTTGTCCGCACGGAAGGAAATGTCAGAGACTCGTCTCATCCGGCTGGCTGTGGCTGCTAAGAGGGCATACATATGGACACTCTTCCTCATGCAGCCTTGTATGATGGCGTCGATGCTGGCGAAATGTTGGGCAAATGCGGCATCTGTAGGTCTTTGACCATCGTCATCTCGAGGTCTGGAGAGGAGAGCAAAGGAGAGATAGTATTCGAGGATTGGAACCATATCGCAGTCTATCGTACCAGCCGTACAATCAAAGGGGTCGACGGCCACGTTGTGGAAAGAACCAGAAGGCGGGGCGAGTAGCTGCTGCATCACCCCGTCATCCAGATACTCGTCCTCGCTCGAGTCTTGCTGCCGCCGAGACTCGGATTCTGGGCTAGGTGATAGATCTTGGCCTATTATCGCACAGAGGCTTTCGGAGGGTAGCTTCTTCGGTTTCGTGGACCGTTTTCTTGTGGTATGACTCGTTTGCTTCGCATTTACCGAGCGCCTCCCCCTGGATGGTTTATTTGGGTCATCAAGTAGCCGAGAAACTCGGCACCTCGTCAAGCATTTCTCGAAGAGTAGTGTATCTGTCTGGCGTTGAGCGCCGCTGCCACTGAGCGTCTTAGAAGTGGCCGCCTCTTGAGCCCACCTTTGGGCGTGGCTGTTGATGCTCGCAGCGGCGCTTCGGGTAGTTGAGCGGGACAATGTGCCGGAAGTAGGGGTTTTGACGATGAATAAAAAGGGAGCTTTGCTCGATGCCGCGCCCTGAGAGCTGACCTTGATGCTGTTGAATGTAGCGAACTCGAATTGAGCTGGAATCGGATCAAGGATAGCCATCGTCGGTTGTGGAGATTGTCATTCGAACACGGGTTGTGCAGCTGGCACTATGAAAAGCTTGGGTTTCTTGAGTGTCTTGGGTTTTACAAGAGATGCGCCAAGCAGAGAAATTGGCAGATTTTCCTTGCCGTGTCGACTCTTGGGACGATCAACATGGCAGGCATCGATGATCTTTAACGTCCTGATATGTAGGGGTGCACGAGCCTTAAAGAAACCAGGGGCAGTTGTGATGATGGCCGACACACTGATGAGAGTGGCGCTCGCTCTCTAGCAGGAGGTGAACACCGAGGAGCAAGCCGGAGTGGGCAAAGCCTTGCCTCGTTTAACATGGTCCACCACGAGAGCCCAAAACTCCTGTTAGATAAGCACCATATTTTCGCGCTCTTTGGTCAAATCGAGTAGTCGCTAAAAGACCAACAGGGTTGAGCAGCGGACGAAGATCAAAAGGCCCCGAGGCAATGTCAAGGCTAAACATCCAGAGATGGATCCTTCGTTCTTTTGCAGCGGCCAAGGGAAAGAGGGCTATAACTTATAACCGGACCCGGCGTGAATGGAGCTGAGCAATGTCTCCGGCTTGTGATAGACTTTGTTTGGGCGGTATGGACCTGCATCTGAAGGATTACCACGCGATACAGAGCAATATACAAGTGGGGGTGTTGAGTGGAAAGGGAAATAACCAACAAAGTCGGGGAGTTGGTATACAGGTGGTGATTGGCGGTCGAATGGACTCCTCCCCCGCGGGACATAGCGTATAACAGCGTCCTTCACACATACGGTCCGAGGTGTGAGATCTGGCTTGAACTAGCGGATTTCTGAGAAGGCTGGAGGAAGGGGTGTGGTGGTGGAGGTCAATGAGGTGCAATGAGAGGTCGGGCGACGTTCAGTCCAGGTGAGCAAGCGGTCTTGCCGCCTGGACAACCTTAGGAGGGCAACTATGGCGGTCCAGAAGTGGTATAGTAGGGACCACCCCGAATCCACTAAGCCTAAAATTGCATAGCACTCCCGAAGCTTCAGAAGCTTGTTCACGCCTTAAACTGCTCTGTCAGATCGATATAAATATGTCCCACCACCTACGCCTGAGCAGACAGGGGTCTATACCGAGCACTAGTCTCTTGTACTTGTACTGCTACATACCACCTTGTACCCAGGCCAAGCCGGCGGATCTCCTTGATCCAATACATTGGGTCTGACAGCAATATGTCCTCTCCGTATCAATGACAAAGACTCTAACCGTGTCTTTGCTGGGATGACATTCTCCTAGGGAGACAGGGGGCCTGCCTATCATACGGAAAGATGATCCCGGCTATCCATGTCAAGGTATTCACCTGTTTGTTACCAGCTCGCCACCTCGGCATCCTTGCTACTCAGATGACCTGCTTCGAGCTTGACGCTCAAGTCGGGGTTCAAGTTCGTACCGAAACAGCGTACACTAATGAACCATTGCACAGGTCGTTGGGCAGGCTTAGTCATACTCCAAACCTACACCATCATTCACCACTAACCCTCCGTGTCTTGCAAGTCTAGAATGCCCATGGGGAGCTGTTACGCTCGTTTATTCCTCGAGGAAACTAGTTTCTCTTTCGAGCCACTCGCCGATCCCATTTCTCGTATTGGTGGAACTTTTTGCGTCCTTGAGATGACTGTGACGGCCACCACGCCATCTCCCAATCAAAAGCATTCGGTGAATTGTCGTTATATCTTGGACGAATTGATAGTGGTAGCTACGAGAAGAAACACCCTCTTGGTGGCGATTGTCCCGGATACCGTCCTCTTCTCATGATTTTGTGGTAGGCAGCCTGATCAATGACATCCACCATTCTTATCCTCCTGGCCAATTAGTTGTCAATACGAAATATCTGTAACATTAAACTATACGCCCCCACCTCCTGTTGGACGGCTGGCAACACCTCTCATCATGGCTGTATCAAAGGGCCTCGAAATGGTTAAGCAGAGTCATCTGGCTCCCCGAGAGACATCGGTGGATTTCGTCCTTTACATCGTCGAGGACACTTGCACTCAATACGCCTGAAGAGTTAGGGGTGCCGGACTTGGGCTGAAGGACAGAGCGGTTCTGCTCAAACAGAGAGCCCAGCCAGGAAGGAGTCGACATGAAAGCAGTAATATCATCATTCCTGGGAGGTCTCACTGGGCTTCCGGCTGACAATGGACCCAGCAATGATTGAAGACGGCCTGTGAATATCAAGCCAGAGGTCAGCTCATTGTCGCTGTTGTGCATTCGTCAAGATCAAAAACTTAGAGTAGCGTTTGCCGAGCCTCGAGCCCCTTTCATCCAGCTTTCAGGCTGGAAAAAGCCAACAGGGGACTTGAAATATAGAGAAACAGCACAAGGCCAAGCGGAGCTTGTGCCACTCAGTAGCTGGTATGCACATGGGAGGAACGACCACTGACCGAAACCCCTAGGGGGGTTCGTTACCACGACAGATATGGGAGGGAACCCCAGCTCTCTAGTCGTAAAAGTTATCTGGAAAGGGGAGAATTGACTGTCCCTTTCGGTGTTCTGCTGCTCTGGAAGACAACAAGCAAGCCTTTGGACATACACGGTTAAGGAAGTCTTTAGAGATTGAATACCAGCATTTGCTATGAGAGCCTGCCTAGAAGTCTTGCTCTATAGTTTTCAATCCCAATCCAATAGCTAGCCCCCCATGTGCATATTTGAGGGCTGGACGGGCTGGACGGAACGAAGTGTGTGCCGACAATGAATCGGCCTGTCCAAAATTTGGTCGCACCGATCCGCCCTCATAGAATCACTTCACTGTGCTTCATATTCAGCGACTAGGCTGATCGTAGACAGCACTTTCTCCAATCAAATCAAAAGGCTTATTTGTCAACTTCAGCAGTTGGTAGTTCTCACATCACGATGTACTGAGCGTGTGTCGTTCTGCTTGATGGCAGATTCTCCGCCTAGCATCAGTGGCCACATTCCTCGCGGCAACGGGATTGCCACATTAGTGGAACCAGAAGAGGGTCAAAAGTCCACGGGTCCATTTACCATGCCTATGACCTCAACGGGAACCTTAGGCCATTCTGCTTGTAGATGAGTCTCTCGGAAATCGAAGAAGTCCGGAACGGTAAAGAGGAGACCATGGTCCGCGACGCCTCCAATGCAGATGCCCGTCGTCTTCCATGACGACTTGTCGCCAAATTTTCTCGGACGACCAAGACAAGAACTGTTTCTCGCTTGTGCATCACATATCGACAATAGGATATTCTGCATGAAAAGCTCCCTCCAAGTATATCCTTTCAGGTGGATTTAAAGCCCTGAGACGATGCCTCCTAGTTGGCCTACCAATAATCAGGTACAAAATCCTGCAGAGCGGTTGGCAAGATCTACCTCCCGGTCAAGAGCAAGTCGAACCCGATTTAAAGGCCATAGAAAAAGGGTATTGTTCAACTTTTCAAGTTCTAATAACGACTTGTCTGACCTTGTTACATCCACGCGCACTGGTTACGTCAAACTGCGCAAATCAGTTGATGAATGTGGTGACTTGCTAGTGCGCACAGAGATTAGCGACACCGACGAGGCCAAAAAAGAGGCGCTGCGCATGGCGCCAACGGACACGTTGATGTTCAAATAGCAATCTCGATCGCGAAGAGTCTTTGAGACACACCGCAAACGGGGGACAAGGTGTCAGCACAAAACCCTTGCTCGTTCCTTCAACCAAATTTCTCGATGAATTTAGGATGATAAAGATTGGAAGGCTTCAGATACCGAGACAGGCGAAGTCGAGGGTGAAGCATCGACCTCTTTCAAACCATGTAAGATAGCGACTTGACTAAGCCTCCTGGGTGCGCGTGCTGAAGTCCAAGCAATGGAATCGTCGCCCAGTATGCTGCAAGGCGTCTCCTTAGATGTTGGTATTTCAAAGTATGCCAGATTCAGGTGGTCAGATGGGCCCCAAATCATGACTAAAATTGATAACAGATGCAGTTTCAGCTCACATTTCCTTCATCTTCCGCGCGGTCCTGGTATGTTCGTTCGGATACATTATTAGCCCTCACTCCATAGAGGTATCTGAGTAGGATATCGTGTAGGTTCTCGTATAAAATCTCGCGATGGACGGGTGTGGATATTTACAGCCGGGTCATCTCTATTACGGTGCTTGGACATTGGCGGCATCGAGGTAGACGGAGGAGCATCCACGGGTTCTAAGGTCGCAAAATGTGTCGATGATGATGTGGAAACGTCGGACCACAATTGGAACGAAGCTCTCCGGCTATAATCGTCGATCGTCGGTCTCGTGATTCTATACGAGCCAAACGGCGACGCAGCTGCCGTCAGCTGGTCACTCCCGATGAAAATGCCAGCAGGCGGGTCTTCCCAGTGTACCACTGTCCCCGACCCCTGCCCGCCCGTTCTTGAATTGTCGCGCACTGGGTTTTGAGTCTTACCAAATTCGTTGACCCTAAATTGGAATTCTGTGGCCTGGGAAGGGCGGGTAGCGTCTGACCTTCCGGGATTTGTTGTCTCAGCACTGTCTCGTACAGCATTTGTGGTATTGCTCAAGGACCAGAAACTTGGCTGGCTGTGCGGTGGCGGCAATGATTTTGCGCTCGAACAATCCATGGACCTGATCCAGCATGATGATGTTCGTCCTCCTGGTGGGCCTGGTGCCCTCCTTTTTGCTGGGACAAGCGATCTTGGAAGAGCACTAGTCTTTGGGTGTCCAGACTTCTGCAACTTTCCGGCTGGACTAGTATTGGGTCCAGGTTCGGTCATGGGAGCGTTGTTGTAAAGTGATATATTCACCAGTCTCTCGTCAATGTGACCTTCCATTGGGCTGAGATGTGATAGAAAATCCGGTTCAGAATGGTCAAGATGCTGTGGAGACTGTATGAAAATCGAAGTATTAACAGCAGTGGGAATCGATTTGGGCGAAACAAAAAGTTTAGGATCCGAGCCAGGCTGCTCTGACTCGAACCAGAGGCTGGAAGTACCATGCTGAACACACGATGGTTTGTTGATTGCTGGAAATACCTCACCCCAACTTGTGGTAGATTTAGGTAGAAGATGGCTACTTTCAAAGTGGAAGCCGTCCTGGATCCGGCCAAATTCCTCTGGAAATACATATCTCATCCATGCTTCATTGTCCGTATCGATGCTTTTGGAGAGGCTGGATGTGGTTTTCCCGCCCGAATCACTAGCTTGATCGCCCTGTTTTCTGCTTCGAAAGCTAAATGGCACACCAGGGGAGTGATCTGTAAGCCGGGGAATGACCTCCTCGAACCCCGGTGAAGGAACAAGGTTTCCTGTCTCGCTGGTTACGTGGCTGGCGATATCTTCTGCTCTAGATCGTCGTTCCTTGGTGATGCTCTTCGCCAAATAGCCAGAAAACCCAGTAGAAGGGCGATGTAGGCCGTTAGACTCGCTCTCGTTCGATTTGAAGATCGAGACATGCTTAGAGGGAGCCGTCTCAGATGCAACACCGAATGTAGAAGCGCTGAGGTTGTAAGAACACCGTAGCGAATCAGTTGTATCACTTTCTGCCAAGCTGTCAGCAGAAAAGAATGAGTCTCTTCTCTGCTGTTTTTCACGCTCGAGATCTCCTACCGCCTGCTCTAGTTTCACTTGATCCTCCAATGTAAATTGTGGGCGCAGTCCCAGTTCGGCACCGACAGCCACATCGCATGCTACGCCCGGGGCAATGTGTATGCTTTCATCAACTGAAGGGGTCGGGCCCGGCCTAAGAGGATGGTTGGGGTGCAGGTATGGCTCTGAAAATAGTGGTGGGCTTGAACCATGTCCCGGCCCATCCTCTAGGAGCCCCACGGCAATCACACGCTGGATTGTGTCTGGCAAGGCCGGTATTGGGGCTTGCGGCGATGAATGTCGGTGGGAGCCGCCGGAAATATTATGTGGATTGTCCTGTTGATATGGGGCCGGCTTACAAAGGGCGTCGTGTTTGGCACCCGAGGGGTTTGGAAACGCTCCGCCGGATGGAGGATTCACTTTGGAAGCATTCGTCTGGGTTCTTGACCGAGCGAGCCCACGGACCTTATCCCAGGATGTTAGGCCAAGGCCAACAGCTTCTTCCAGGGTGATAAGATTGCCTTCGTCCGCCGAGTCGAGCTGAGCTATTCTCCCCCTCCTTGGTTCACTAGCACGAGCTTGAATTTTTCCACTGCTCCTTCTTTCTGATACTTCTCTCGATGTGTGATGTGTTTGGTTCCTGTCCTGAACTTTGTCCGGATGCGCCGGTTCATTGATAGCTCCTGCAACTGATTGGATAGGCTCTTTACAGCCCACAAAGCTCGAAGTGGTTTGAGTCTGATGTACGTTGGACCCTATTCTGAGGCTAATCTCTTCTGTCCGCAGAGAAGGAACACGTTGAGCTGGGCGTGTGGAGCGTAATTCTCCCTGGCCTGAATTTCTCTGGGGCATCGAAGTTCCCTGCTTTAAATGTGGTATCTTGCGTCGACGGCCGAATCCCTTGATCTCGTCTCGAACAACTTGATTGAACCTAACTGGCCGCGCGGTTGTGATTGCGACCCAGTCGGTTTTGTCGAGTAGAGCTTTGCGGGCGTGTTCAAGGCTGTCGTCGTTTCCCATCTGCCTGTGGACGTTATTAGCATAGGATCAAACTGTGAACTCCATTGGTCCCTTGCCTCGAGGGTCTCTCAGCATCAGATGCCTGACCTTTCATTTGTCCATTCGGAGATCCCAAGATCTTCGTCTCTGAAGGCTGTCGTCCACCAATTGACCCCTCTTCTTTCCTATCGAGGCCATATGCTAGGTTTTTGCTTTCAGTGGCTCTCCTAGGGAACTGTCGCGCCTTCAGAGCAAGTTGGTGCCGAGGAGCATTGTGTATAGAGAATGCAGATGATGGAGGACAGGAAGGGCGAGATCTAGGTCTCAGTCTGGCCTTTGCAAAATGCTGCTTCTGTTTTTTGACAAGTGCATTGGCGTTGGCTTTGGAGTGACGCTGTAGGCTGCCACCCGTCCAGTTCATCCCAGCCCGATGAGATCAAGACGACAATGGAGAAATGTACAGAGGGCGTGAGAGTGAAGAAACGGATGGCAGCAGCATGGTTGCACGGAGCTACGAGTTGTCATGGAGAGTGGTGGGTTTCCGTTGACTGTATACGGTGCGAGGGTTTGTCAAGACACTGCTCCGTACCTAGGTAGTCTTTCCGCCTTCTGTGCTGCGCCGTTGCGGCTTCCATCTTTGCTTCAAATCCATCAACTCTTCCAATATCTACCAGTACTCGTTACATACCGTCATATCGTAGTTTTCGAGACAAGTCACCTCAAGCCTCGATCGACTGTGACCAGTTCGATATCAAAAACGTCGGGCCGAGTCGGGTCGAGTCGGGTCGCAACGGCTCATGACCTCCCTTTGATATTAAATGCACAAGTATCCACAAGTAGAATCTGTGCTATGCAGACCAATCTCAGCGGGATGTAGCACCGGACGTAGCACGACACCGTGGGAGGCAACCCCTTGGCCAGTCATGACAGGCGCTGGCTTCAATTGTCCGCTGTAGGTAAGGTTGAGGCTGGAAAGGGTCTGTTCCTTCTCGACAATTGGAGCACCAACAAATCTCACTTAGGAGCAAACATGCCAAACATGCCAAGCCATTCTCCAGCATCACGTGGCAATGTCCTCCTGCTTGCCCTTTCGAACTTCCCACTTTCTACGCTCGCTTCCTACTTGAAGTTCTTCGAATGACACCACACAATACCTCCTACCCTTCCTTATGAGCATTGGACCCTGACTCTCGGGGATCTGCTAAAGAAAAAAAAGAAGCGTCCGTCTTCGGTCTTCCGGTCAACGAGTATTTTTCCTCACCAAAGGTGCTTCAAGTTGTCTGCACACGAGGTACGTGTTCAATTTTGCGTGATTCAGTCCACAACCCGAATACCCATTCCATTGTGATGAAAAACCCAATCAAAAAGCATAGTTCAACCGAGACGTCACGTTTTTGACGAGAACAATTCCATCATTCAATCTTCTGAACTCAGCCGGAGCAGCCATTCCACCATTGTCGCCCCCGCAACCGCTGACTTAGTTTTGCTAATGATTGCCGTCTACGCAGGTACGTTTCGGTGATCTTTGCAAGCTGTTCTCGTGGCTTTCCGCTTTTAGCCCCGAAGTTGGTGAATGTGCAAGTATCGGCATAAGTCGGACCGCCCATGTTTGCTGAGCTGGACGCCGGGAACGTGGGATCCCCTTGCGCAAGATGATCATCGATCTGTTTTTACCAAAGTCAGGCTATTGATATGATGTGCTGATCGGCCAGAAACCTCCAATCTGACTTTCCAGCTCTGTCGGAACCCATCCGACAAGACTTGTCACTCTACCAACTTGTATTCCAACATTTTCAATGGCCTTCATATCTTAATCCAAGCCTGGCTGAAGCGTGTAGCGCAAGTCTCAGGCCAATCGAAATTTTCTCTAGATCGGCGGTGAAGCGTGATGGGGAGGAGGCATTTTGTGTGCGTGTTGTAGGGAGGATCACGTGAGCCCTACCGTTCGACGTGGCTTTCGTTCTACCAAAGTGCCGTGGCAGCCAGCAGTCCCGGTTCACAGTGAGGCCGTCTTTCTCGACCAATCCTTTGTGGTGCGGCCGAGTGATAAAATTGAACAGGTTACACAAAGCCCCTGCTTTGCTCCCTTTGTGCGGCATGGGCCCAACAGGACCTCAGCCCGCAGTGCAGGCTCCAGCAATTACATGCGCGGCAGGAAGAAACTACGAGAAACTCCCCAACACGCTGAATGCACAGTACTCTCCCCTACCAATACGACTATCGATGAGTTGTTGCGTGCTGAACTGCAAAGACGAGCTTCCCTGCAATGCGAGTGCGAGTGCGAGTCACAAGAGCAGACCGTTGGTCCTGGAGGATGCCACGTCAGGAGTCTGTGTGCTGCACTGTGCATGCACCCATGTTTCCACCACGCCAGTCAGGCCCGTTGCGAGTGGTTGCTGGTGGTTGTAACAGTTTGGGGCGCTGAGGGGTCGAGGTCAGAGCCAGCAGTCAGCAAGGCGGAGCCAAGGGATGGGCGGCGAATGAAGGTGCCCCCTGCTGATCATAGCCCCATATGTTGGTTGGAGCCTCTGAGCCACTCAGATCCGGAGAGATGGAGACGCGCCCCGCGCTAAGTGCGACAGCTACCAACCACAGCGCTGTTAGCCCTACAGATGACGTCGACCTTGACCTGGTAGGTGGTACAGGAGTCGGTATTTCGGAGGCAGCTGGCTGCAGCCGAAGCGGCCAGCGTCGGACCGGGCTGCCAAGTCCCAGTTCCAGGGCGGCGGTGATGGAGTCTGGGTTGTATCTGCCACCTCGTCGACCACCTTCGCAGGGCAACATGCAGCAGCGGGACTTGCAGCAGCGCTGCATCCAGCTGCGACTATTGCTGCACCTTGGTCCTATCACCACTATCTGTGATGGATTTGATGATGGATCCATGCTCCTCCTGTGCGACCAGCCGCCGGATCCAAAGTGCTAGAACATCCAATGCAAGGCGCCGTGGTTCGGTCACCGCCCACTTTTCCCACTTTCCTGCCCACCTCGCTCACCTCTTCTCACCCTCATTTCCTTTGCTCTCATCCGCCAACTCATTCCCCCCCCTTTCTTTATAATTCTACTCTCACCCTCCCGCCTACGTCTCTTCCCTCTCTCCTCTCTCAACACTCCCATCTACTCTAACTTTTAGCCTGTGATCAAGAGACCACCCACCTCACATACTTCTTTTAACATCTATCCCACATACATCCAACATCACCACCACCGACATTATCTTGGACAAGCCAACTGCACTCAATTCCATTGGCCCATCAGGAGTTATTGCTTCTATCATCCACAGGACAGCCCAATCCGGACATCCCAGGATCGCTTTCTTTGCCTTTTTTTTCATCTCCATTGCCAGGACAAATTTACCCGAGGAACTCGAAATCTCGACAAGCATCAAGCTTGACACAAGCCGGCGTCGCAGCGTGTTGTTGAGGTACTGCAAGATTTTCTTTTTCCTTTGCATCGACGCTAGTGCTTTTTATCCTTTGCCTCCATGCCGGTTCCCCTTCCTGAGGATCTCAATACGTCGCCCGACTTTGCCTCAGGCGCACGTAAACCCAATCCTTGCGGCTTTTTCGCCCAAGGCTATCTGTGCTGTACGGATACGTCGACCTGGGTCACGTTTCTGAGCACATGAAATGAATGAACTACAAAAGACCCTGAAGCCCGACACAGTTCCCACGGATATCCCTAATACCGTTTTGGAAGGAGCCGTTATGATACCGGACAAATTTATACCAAGGAGACTCCCGTGGATTGGCCGTTTCATGAAGATAATGCTACCCTGGATCGCGTCTGTGCTGCTACATGACCCCGGAATACTTCGTTTATGTGCTTGACATACGACTTCCAACAGCTGCGTGATCGACCTAACCGCTTTCCTGGGGACAGTTTATCTTTGTCGACAATCTCGCCATACAAGTTCCTGGAATCAAATTATTGATGTCGCCATGGTGAGGACTACCACCCAAGTCCGTCACTCTCTTTGAAAACACTGTTAACACTCATCGTTGGAGTGACCGCTAAGGAAATGGCACGGACTGGACTCGTTGTTACTATACTTCGCGACCTTAGCAGTGCACTGGATTTAGAATGCCGAATGTTCGGACGGAACCCAGGGCCTCTGGACTTTGTCGCCCACCGGGTCGCTGTCTTATGCATTGCTATTCTCGCCTTCTTGGACAACTGCTTTATCAAAGGTTTCGCTCTTCGTCAACCCTACGGACTATGTCGACAGTCTACCTTTGTTGTCCCGGAACTTACAGCTCTGAAATCTAACCTCTGCTTCTGACCGGAAGTCGTCGATATACCTGGTCGTTGACCGTTGCCCCGCCTCCGCTCGGACATGCCCAATCACCCATGTTTCCATTTGACAATGCTTTTTTTTTGGTGTTGCTTGGATGTTTTGTGTGTATGATGGGGGCGAGTACTAACTTGTGTTCGCGCTGGCAGAAATCTATTTGTTCAACAATGACTTCGACAACATTGACCCGGAGAAACCCACTACTGGCCACACTTATTCCAGGATCTCAAAGCCGGGTGCCGAGGACCATGCCTGTGACTTACCAGGATTCTATTCCGTTTAGTTCTGCCTCCATGGCTGATGGAATCTCCAACGCACACTTTTCTTTGACTTCTGCCTCTTCTGGATCGCGTAGGTGCCACGGGACTGCACCTAGCGACTTCCCCTCTGGACAATATCCTCACAATGATGACTTCTTCTTGTCAGCGTCTTCTGCAATGACCTATGACTCCATGACCGTGTCTGGCGGTGCATTTGCCGTCCCCGTGATGTCGAGCTTGAGCGGCTTTGATGCCGATCCAACCTCTGAGTTCCTGACAGAGGAGGCTTTCTCAGGCGACAACTCCGCAGACTTGAACCTCGTGCCATCGTCGCAATACCATGGACAAGACCAGCCAGAGGATCTGATGATTTCCGGTTACATGAACGTGGATTCTTCGTCCCTCTATCATCCTGGAATGGTGACCCATTTCAGCTCGCCGGGCTTCTCGTTGCAGAGACTGCCAACACCCCCTCCCGAGGAATATGTCCGGGATTGCCTGTCGGCCCAGAATTCGCAGGAGAAGATGTACCCGAATGCCCAGGATTCCACTCTCTATGGGAACAGCGCCTGCAAGGTGTCACCAGACAGGTCAGATCCCTTCCTTATCTCCCTCCACCTCATCTGTCAACTAACCCAAGCGGTCAACAGCCTCAAAGGACGCAGTGTATTTCGACCTAGGCCTATTCGATCTGCGTCTGAACGGAATGGTGTCGTCGACCAAAGTGTTTCGTCTATCGTGCCTGCTGAGACCCGGAGCCCCAAGGAGGAACAATCGGACCGAGAAAAGGCCAGAAGTGGACCCCTGTACGAAGCCAGGCCCGACAAAAGTGGTCACTATCATTGCCCTATGTTCGACAAGCTCAAGTGCAATCACCAGCCCACCAAGCAAAAATGTATTTACAAGTAGGTCAGACGTGTTGCATACAGGCTGAGTTCTTTCTAACACTCGCATCTCCATACAGCAAATACGTGGACTCCCATTTAAGGCCATACCGCTGCCGTTTCACGGATCGCCCGGAATGCGAGGATCTCAGGTTTTCTTCCAACGCCTGCCTCCTTCGCCACGAAAGAGAAGCCCATGGAGAACATAACCACGGAGTGAATCCCTACTTGTGCAAGTTCCCGGACTGTGACCGTGCCCGAGAGGGAAATGGATTTCCTCGCCGATGGAATCAACGTGACCATATGAAACGAGTCCACCAATACGAGGAACCTGAACCTCTTCCCAAGAAGAACTCAACCACTCAAAGTCAGAACAAGAGAAAGAAGCCGACATCTGTTCCCATGAGGAGGTCGAACTCCTCCACCCTGGCCAAGGCTCATGCGATGGCGAATGCTGCCATCCAAGCTCAGAACTACGGCCAGGCTATTACCCGGCCCCAGTATGTCGCTCCCGGCGCGTACACTATTCAAACCCGGGACTATGATGCCATGATGCCACAAACAGTGTCAATGGACGATGTCCAGTTCTCACCCAGGCCTGCCATCTCTAGGACATGCCGTGTGTCACCGCCTTACTCCGGGGTCTATCCTTCATGAGTTTCTTTCTTTTGTTCATCTTTTAACTCAGCGAAATCAATGAAGCGATATATACCCTGTGCAACCTACCTCCCAGATGGCCTCAAGCGTTTTGATCACTCTTTTTCTGAATTTGCATTCTACCAACCATGCAGCCAGACCACCTCTGTATTGCAGATCGGCAATTCCAAAGGTGTAACAGGACAACAGTGCTGCCGTGTTGGGAAGAAAATAAAAATTTGCCACGACTCTACCGGATTTCCGAGCTCTACTTTTTCCAAACTATTATCTCTTCAGACATACGACCAAGCCACAGGACGAATTTTCCGCTGGAGAAGAAATGTGAATCCCGGAGGTTGTTATATATCCCAGGACTGGCCAACATATATCTACCTGAGGAGCTTTCCCTATGATTCATCTCCAGGACGGGCCATTATGCATTGTGACAAATCTTACCGGTTCAAAGGATCAACGAGACGTGGTCGACACTTGTGTTTTCTGCACCATCGGCTAGAGGCATTCGGCAAGGGGGGATTGGATAGATAGAAATTTCTTGACAGCAGTGTCAGTACTAATTGTGAATGTACTGTACGCACAACAATGTAGCTATTTTCGGGGCCTACCACCGAGACACCAAAATTCGGATCTTCGAGCAAAGAGCTGTGCCTTTCACCGATTAAAATGTATATAGAGACCACTTGATAGCACCGAGGCGAGGCCCCCTCCTTGAAACCCCCACCACTAAAGAAAACAAAATTTCACCTTGAACTCCCCTCCACGTTCCTCGAGCAACTTATGTGATGCCAGTGAGTACACCATCCTATGCATCTGAGAAATCCTCTTCACAGTAATTGACTCTCCCTGTAGCTCATCATAATCACAGGCCTCCCCTGCTCGGGCAAAACGTACCGCGCCCAGCAAATCGCTTCCTCGCTGGCCGGCTTCATCCACTCCTCCGCTGACGAACCATCAATATTAAAAAGGACCATCCAGATCGTTCCTTCGTACCATGCGTCTTCCGATGGTGTTAACAGCTCAAGTTCTATAGAAAATACTGCGCTTCGAGACCAGGTCTACAACAACGCGTCTCACGAAAAGACCGCAAGGGCAGAAGAATTCTCCTCGATCAAGCGCGCTCTTTCGAAAGACAACATCGTGATAGCTGATGGATTAAATTACATCAAGGGCTATAGATACCAGTTGTGGTGTGAGGCGAAAGCCGTGGGAACGAGATGTTGCATCGTCCACGTGGCTGCGCAGGAGGATGAGTGTAAGAGGTGGAATCGAGAGAGACTGAGAGCATTCGATGAGGAGGTGGGTGGTAGCGGTGGCGACGACGGCGATGGAGAAGGAAATTGGAACGCGACGGACAAACCAACACGGCACATGCAAGGGGAGAGTATACTGGGCGACCTGGTCCCGGAAAGCCATACTGCTATCTACGGCGACCGGGTCCTGGAGAATGTGAATGCCAGGTCACGGTCTTCGTCGATGGACGGGTTAGACAACGGCGACGGCGAAGATGCTGTGGCTCGGACTCTACCAGACGACACAATGACTCTCAAGTCCCTGTACATCAACCGGGCAGATGCAGACCCTCCATCATCAACGGAATCAAAGCCACCAGAAGACTTTCCACATCAACCGACGATTCACTCACCCTCGATCCCAATACCACCACCAACATCCTCTCCTCCATACTCGTCCTCGACTCTCACCTCCCTAATAATGCGCTACGAACCCCCCTCTCCCTTCTCTCGCTGGGACACTCCTCTCTTCACTGTTCCCTCGTCCGACGCAACCCCTCCGATACGGGAGATTTGGAACGCAATCTATCCCCCGCCCTCCAAACCGACCAGCAAAAAAGCACTGAGTCAACTATCTCCATCCCAAAGATCCAACGCCAATGGCAATGGAAATGGGACGAGTGAACCTTTCTCATCCGCATCAGTCACGACGCGCGATAAGCCGGCTGTGGTGAAACCCCACGCAGCGACTGTTCTCCCTCGCGCCACTGCGTCGGACGCCCTCCAGACCCTCGAATCCGCAACCATGGACGTGGTGAGACATCTACTGGCGCAATCTCGCGAACAGAATCTATCCCAAGGAGGAGAGGGTGGCGACGTGCTCCTCTCCATCCCCCTTCCACAACCGACCCACTCGTCTACCAACCCAGCCGAGCCGCCAACGACAGTGAGATTGACCATCCACATCCCGCCCGGCCTTCAACTCTCACAGCCCATGCTGCAGCGTCTCCGGAGAAAATACACGCAAATCCAAAGGGGAGGGATCGCTCACGGGCAAGGATACATCAGCGGTCGGAGGAAAATTATCGAAGGCTTCGTTGAGTTCCTGGAGGCCGAGTGGACTGCAGAATAAACTGCCAAAAGAGAAGATGGGGAAAGAAAGAAACCGAACAGCATGTGAGAGATTGCTTAGCTGGCCCCGACTTCAAGTTGCTCTGCCCATAATGGTATGTACTGAAGATCGGGAGGGATCCCACAGAGATAGAAAGAGGGAAAGGGAAACGGGAGAAGGGGGATCATAGAAGACAAACCCAAGGCTCCCTGGACGTGGGCAATCTGATCGATCCTCAATCCGTTTTCCAACCCCCGACCTGGACGACAGTACGAGAAAGAACCTCCTCTCTCTCGCCCTCGCTTCCTCACCGCCACTGCTGGCCTCACCCTCTCAGTGCCATCACCCTCACTTCGGCGCCCCATCTATGCGTTCATCCACGTGCCTTCCACCAACTCGTCTTCCCTCCACCAACGACCTACCTAACCCAGCAGGAAGCAAGCTATCCGGTTCCTCAATAAAACACCCCCGCCACCCCCGCGTCAAACCCAACGAATACGGAGTATGTAGGTATGTGTTCGTCTGTTCCCCGACATGCATGCATGCGACATGCTCCCCTGGCCGCGGGTAGATTGGAGCATTGAGATCCCTGCCTGGGAGAGGGCGGCAAAAGGCGAGGTTTGTAGGGTTGTAGGCGAGCACCTGAGCTGGGAGGGCAGGTGGACAGATAGCGAGTAGATAGGCGGAGCTGGATGATTTTGAGGACGTGGAGATGAAATGGATTGGGAGGGGGAATGCAAAAGTGAAGAAAGCGACGGGAGAAGTAGGGAAGTAGAGACAAGCTAGGGTTACAACGAAAGCAAGGCGTGTCAAGAAAGGTTGCATCAAGAGAAAGTCTTCTATTCCCGACCATCTGTCTTATCCAAATCATTTCTGATCTCGACTGAATGAAGGGCCATGATTCCAGAACGAGTCGTATGCTCTTGCACGGGGTCGACTCTCGGAAAGGGAATCTATACTTTCCAAATCAAGTCATCAAACACCCTTCCCAGGTGGTGTCACTGTTGCCCAGATACCAAAGAACTCAAGACCCAAGGTGTCCCAAAAACTAAACTCCAACCCTGAGCATACTCCCAAAATTGTTCGTTGATGCTTCTTCAACTCCAATCCTCCCATGAGATGCATTTCTTCACTTCGCTCATCTAACACACGAAAAAGAAAAAGAAATTAACTGAAATCTTTGCACAAGGTAAGAGAGAGCACTGAGCCCACAGGTATCTCCTCTATGCCTTTTTTTGAACCGCTAGAAGGTGGGTGTGTCGATATGACTGTCGAGAAGCACACACAAAGCCCTCGCCGTAAACTGACTGTGGATTATTCATTAAGCCCTCGGGTGAGCGTACATAGTTGCTTCAAGATAATTGCCGCAAACGTTCTAGGGGTATCAACCCAAGAGAACAATGACGACTCCAGAAAAGAGAAGAGGATCCGATCATAGAGATAAGAGCAAATTGTGAGAGTTGAGAAGCGAACAATGTCAATAGGTGGATTGCAGATGGCATGTCGTAAATGTGGAGATAACTGACGTAACGAGAGAAATTTCGCGCGAGCGTTGCATTGAAACTTGGAAGGACAATGCAGTGGTCCGTGATCCGCATTGTATTCGGAAGGTGACAACATTAAATCGAGGTGCTGGAGGTGCTGCCCGTTGCAGTGTCGGCTGTATGATGATGAATTCCCGGGAGTTTCTCCGGAAAAAAGGTCCTTTTGAGCAACTGTCCAAGACTCGTCATGGTGGGTGGATAAATATTCGTGTTGGGGTCAATCACATGCCGAAGTCAATGTCTCCTCGGCAAACCCATTTTCGACCGAGAAGCCATCCAGTGGCGAGAACTCGTTGTCGGGTAAAGCAAAATGGGTTGCGTGAGGAAAATACGTAGATGATCGAAGGACATTGTGACATGTTCTCTTTACAATGAAACATCTCCCAAGTCTCGCATTAAACAAGCCATCTGTGCCCGTTTTGCGGCCTCGGCCAGAAAATCCGGCGGCAACTGCCCCGGATTCATTGTCTGTGGATATGCAGGATGCTCTTTTGACATGGAATTTGTGTGCGGATGTAGATGTTGCTGTGGCTGTTGCTGATGCGACTGAGGTTGTTGGTCGCCAAACGGCTGCTGCGTTTGATAACCGGGATGCACCGGCTGGGAGGTATATGGGTTAGGTTGGGAGTAGGTGCCACTAAAGAACGGACCCATATGTGCAGCCGAGGGCGAAGGCAACGGGGCGTGAATATGCGAGTGTCCTTGCTGTTGGTGAGCCATGAAGTGTGACTGTATCTGAATGCGATGCTGCGGCTGTTGAGGAGTAGGAGGTGGCGGGGGAGGCTGTAGAGTGTCGCTGACGGGGCTTGGGTGAGAACTCGTCGAGGCACTCGAGGGTTGCGAAAAGCTCTTTGTGAACGTGGAAGTAGGACGACCACCGCTTCTTTGCTGAAATTGTTCTTGTTGTAAATGGGGAGAGAGTCGGGCACTCCGGCGCGGATGGCTGCTCATCTTGACAATCAAATCGTCGGCGGAGGGCGGAGGATTGTGTTTCAAAAACCACGTAGCCGCTGAGTACGGCGGCTTTGTCTCAACTCAATTGTCTCCTTCTTTTCCGGAAACAGCGCGCGGCTAGAGGCTCTTCGCAACAAAGGGACTGCAAGGAGGTCGCAACCGGTCGAGGGTTGAACTTGGACGGTCGTTGCTCTGGAGGGTGGAATCAGGCGCAAGGAGGAACACGAGGTACGTAACAGGAAAAAGAGTCAAAAGTGAGTGTAACAGTGACCTCGCCGCAAGAAAAGCTGGGGGACGGAGAATTAGTGCGGCGGTCAATTGGGAATTTGGAGAGATCAGCGAGAGCCGGACACCTCAAATGTCAACTTCTCCAAGTTCTCTTTTCCTGCGCTCTCTAGGAGAGGGTCGGAAACGGACCGTCGAGGCAGCTTGGGGGGAATGTCTGACCACCCAAGGGGGGCGAATGCGCTACTTTACAGTCAAAGGAATCGATGGCGAGGTTCGACCGAGGCAGCGGTTGGCTGGCGGAATGAGCAGTTCGTGGGGGAGGACGAGATGTGGAAGACTGCCGTTTGTACGAGTTCTGGGAGTCTAGACACACTAGGAGAGTCTGGAGTGGTGCGGGGCGCCTGCAATTGGATGGCCTGAGGCACGTTTTCCCGGGCTGATCTGTGGGGGAACCTGGTCGAGGGATGGGCCGGCCTCGTAGAGGAATCGATGCAAGATCGAAGACAGAGGTTCAGATCAGGGGAAGAGATTGTCGGAAGGAGAAAAAGGTGAAGAGAGATGGCAGGTCAGTGATTTTGACACCATCGAGAAGAAGCAGCGCAGGCGGCAAATGAGAGAAAGCCGTCGGAATGGCGGGATCACGGGACCGCAGCTTCGACCTGTAGACTGCGAACTGCGGCAACAAGGCGACGGGCAGATGCGGGATCGAAAACACCCACAATTGGTATTACTCTGTCCAACGGGTTTTCCCTTCTCATACTTCCACGGCCCCGACAATCTGCCGACCAGCTTCTTATTTGTACTAAAAGTACCACACAGCCAGCCCTGATGGCCCCATGATAACATCCAATGCAGTGGTCAGTCAGTCTTCCCAGCGACAGCGTCCTTGACGCATTTGCCGAGGTCATCTGTTCCTACCGCTTTATCATTGCCCCGGCGAGAAAGTGTTCAGCTATGTACAAAGTGAGGTGATTGATGACATATGAGATAGGCAGTGCCCTAGGGGTGCCCGGGTGCTCCATACACATCAGATACCCCTTCCGAGTACTCACGCGCCATTCCGCGGTCCTTCAACGGCAGTCCTCCGTGATACGTACCTGGACCTTGGATGGGTACTCGGTACAAGTCTGGATGTAATGATACTCTACACATCGCCCTCGCAAATGGGAGCTCCTTTGCGGCCATAATAAAGAGCAACAAACGAGACTGCAGGTCCGGTGTCAATGACCTGAGTCAGGCCACCACCACCAACCGACCCATCTCGTGCAACCGGGTCTTTTTATCACATCATCGTCCTGCAGAATTCGGGCCACCTTTGCATTAGTGACCCAAGGTGCCATCCACCAATCTCGCATGTCATTTACTTTCTCCAATTCCTGTCAGATACGCGCTTGGACAGAGGTATCTTAGCTCCATCGGTCCAAACCCAATCCTTGTGGCAGACCTGCTCCGGAGATATGTACCCGGTATTGTCATCCGATTCTTACCCAGTTGAGGTCGCTGGCGACCTATGAAAGCCCAAGGCTGGACTCTTCTCAAAAGTGCTTATCGCATTGAGCTCCCGTCGCTGTTGCGGTGGTAGTTGGAGGAGATGTGGCGGAAGGAATGACTGCGCAAATGCGTCTGCCAGACTACCGCATGGACGATGATAGACTATGGACCATGGAGGAGACTTCTGGCTACGACAGAGACATGGCATCATCCAAAATCCACCGTGACGGTCCAAGGACAGCCGAGGAACATGCAAGTCCAGGTATGCCGGGCTAGATGCTGTCCGTGTTGGGGGTGATCGTTGAGGCCTAGCCCGCCCAATAATACGTACTTGTAGAGTGTAGCAACCAAGTCAGTGCTGCGAGTGGTCCTTTTTCGATTTGTCATGACTATGGTTGAAGTTGCTGCTACCAACTTGCTGCGCCATGCCGGAGGCCGAAATGGCGGCCAAGCACCGTCTCCAGAGGGACCAAGTATGAGTCTTCTCAATCTTGCTGGCTTGGATTGCATTGTTAAGCGCTCAGTTGAGTCCATGGGTCAATGCTAATGACTACTTGTTAGGTAAACGTGAGAAATTGTCCAACACACGTTTCGAGAATCTATGGATGAACGGAATGAAAACTAGTGTCAAAAGCTGTACCGAGTAGTGATTTCTGGAGCAGGCCCCTGAGAAAACTGCCTTCCAGCATTGCTTGGCGAGAAGGCCATCAAGGCCAAGGGCTGCATTGCCCTTGTGTTTGGATATGTACCCGGTACCGAGTACCAGATGTCGCACTTGATCTGCAACCAGGCTCCATATTATCTGATCATTCCTGATGCTCCTATCGCAAGGAAAGCCGATCTGGCACGTTCCTGACACCCAAAATGACGGCCGTCAAGCTCAAGGCCTTCGGGAAAGGACGGAAGCGGAGGATTGTCGTACTGTCGACCTGAAGACTGGAGACAGCAGCCTCAGGCAGCCAAGTATCCACGAGGACGACGTACCATATTGCAAACAAGTATGATACGTCTCGAGACTCGACGCACAAGGTACCACTATCATCACATGATGTTAGAAGTGCTTGATTCGCACTGCCTAGAGTCATCACCACCATGGACTCATATCGGTTTCCCAGTATTACAGCGAGAATTTCGAAGGGGTGGTGAAAACGGTATCCGATATCTGGCGCTTAGTGACTCGGCGGTGGACTGAGTCCCTCTTGTTCGAGGCAGCACCGTCACCTGTTCGTAGCAGATTTGAGCCTCATTATGGATCGTTTAAGAAGCCAATGCAATCGTGAATGTTTCAGAGCTTCCTTTGTCAAAGCTCGCAGCGACAAGGCGATCGCGTGCAGACATGCAGTATTTGGGCAGGAGCACCGGCAGCAACATCTAGATCTGATTCTTGTGTTAGCGACGCAAAAGTTGCAGAGGGAAAAAATATGGCGGATCATTGAACGTGCCAAGCGCCACGTGTGGAAAATTTGACCTCGCTGTCCCCCTTTGACCCCCTTTAAATGTTGGTAACATCATCTATGGCATCCTTTCTACCATATTTACCACAGAACATGACGGCTCACAGCGAAGACGCGGACGTTTCCACATCCCTTGACATGTTTCAAGAGCCTGCTGATTTCTACGAGCCCGAAAAGCCACCGACCTTCACCAGGTACACCCTGAAAAGTGGCCAGTGTCTCACGCTTCGACTTGTAGGCCATAGTCCTCTTTGGGTGTGATTTTGGTCAATTCATTTAGAGGGTTCTTCGTCCTGCTAATTCCTCGTCCAGGGCCATCTGCTCTGGAACGCGGGTCAAGTCGTGTCCATGTATCTCGAGAAGAATGCGAAACAGCTCGTGCAGAACAAAACTGTCTTGGAGCTGGGTGCCGGCGCTGGCCTTCCAAGCCTAGTTGCCGCTATCTTGGGAGCTCGAAAAGTCGTGGTGACAGACTATCCAGACCATGACTTGATCGCGAACCTGCGTTACAACGTGGAGCATTGCACCGCTCTAGCAAACAAGTCAAACATTGTAATAGAGGGCTTCGTTTGGGGCAGCCTGTGCGAGGCTTTGAAATGTCATGTTCTGCCTGATATTGACGGATTTGATCTTTTGATCCTGGCCGACGTCTTGTTCAACCACTCGGAGCATGCAAAGCTGCTGACCACACTCCGTAACTGCTTGAAAAGGACAAGCGAGTCAGTTGCTCTAGTATTTTTCACGCCTTATCGCCCTTGGTTGCTTGACAAAGATCTCCATTTCTTTGAACTGGCTCGCGCCGATGGCTTTGTGGTTAATAAAATATTAGAGCAAACCATGGATAAAGTCATGTTTGAAAACGATCCTGGAGATGAAACACTTCGCAGAACTGTCTTTGGGTATGAGGTCAAGTGGGAATTTTGAGCTTAGATATTGGGCTTTGGCTTCTCGTCTCGCGCCTTCTCATTCATGGGAACTTGATGGAAAGCTCAGGGGGCGTTGGCAGCTCAGACTGAGGGGCGCAGTCAATTTCTCAGGTCTTCCTCTCACTCCCCAAGACCAAATATGATCATCCTACCAGCTGCTGCTGCACCCGCTCATCTGATACCTCACAATTGTGTTTCAAGCACTGTTATTCCGCTCTTCGAAGGTATGTGATATCCCGGGCCTTAGGCACAGTCAGGGGTACGGGGCCACTGGACCACATGTTGACATTGTCGCAGAATTCCTATTCCTACGTACCACCCATAACTCGTATCTGAGCCGTCATGCTGCAAGTGAAGGAACTCTAGCAGAGCGCAGTCGTTGGTTGCTGTGGCAGACGTCGAACAGAGCAGGTTGAGGAGAATCAGCCAACTGCACAGGCGACGGCTAGTAAGTCAACACCACGACCTGACACATCTCTGTATCACACCTGGGAACAATCATGCGATGATTCCAACACCATGGGCAACGTCTCAAGTATCAGTCTACGAGACTGGTCCTATTCCTAAGACACTGCACGTCTTCATCATGCAGATTGTGATTTCCGCCTTCTTGATCCTTCCTCTCCCAATTCACTTCCCTTGATCGGCACACACCGGCGCACGTGGGTCACCACGGGACGCTGTTAACTCCTTTTTTCTCAGAGGACACAAGCCCTGCATCCCCGAAGACACCAAGCCCAAGCGTCGAGAACCCTGGTGCGGACCAAAGAGTGACTAAAGACGGGGACGTGTGGGTGGTGCCAAACGTTGGCAGATTCTCCAAACGAGCCGTGTACGCATTCGAGGGACACTTGCTGCCCGATGGTCTCACAAAGAGCAACTACATTGTTCACTGCAGGGATTCGGATAGCATTCCCTACAACGAGCGATACGACCCGGCAAACGTTCGGTGCTCCAAGGGATTCCTCCGTTTGGCAGTTCCAGGAGGCCAGAAACCCTCGAAGCAGAATGGCTATGCAATCAGCTGCGCTGAGGTAACGACCGTGGATGAAAACATCTTGTTCGGAAGCTTTCGAACCACTGCCATGTTCAGCACGGAACCCGGCACCTGCCATGGTCTGTCTCCACGTTGATCGTCTTCTCGGCAACCGTATATTCTAACAACGATAGGCATGTTTTTCTATAAGAATGACACCCAAGAGTGTGATATCGAATACTTGACCGATCCAGCATCGCTATCGAACAACGGCCTCGACGCCCCAATACCCCTCTGGTACACGAATCAAGCCGTGGATCCCACCAAGATAGACAAATCGTCCGAAAGTGGACCGGCTCCGCCTAGCTGCACAACCCATGCCCATGAGTATCGAATTGACTGGACGGCGGACTTCACAGCTTTTTACATTGACGGCGTTTGTCAGAAAAACTTCACCGACAACATCCCAAACGTGCCGGGCCAAATGGTGTGGAATAACTGGGCGAACGGTGATAAAGGTGCGTACCGAGTGTGTTTCGGTGTTGTCACAGCTGTCTCTAATGACTGCTGCGACAGGTTGGACAGCTGGACCTCCGAATCGTGACAATGTTTTCAAGATCCAGAAAATCGTCATGTACTACAACACAGCAACCAATGAGTCAGGTGATTGAAGATAAATGCAGCTGCTAAGCAGTGCCCATTTAGGGAGGTCAGGCGTGAAGAAAGGTCGAGCGCGCGAACTAAATTCGTGGCTATCAAGACGGGGCTGGCCCTTTGTCTACCTGACGGCTGATTGACGAGACACAGGTATGTACCACCAGGAGGGGTTTGCTCGGAATCGGGTATCCCTACAAGTAGACAAAATTCAAGATCCATTCATAATCGGTCAATCAGTTTCGAATGAAGGTGCGCTCGAAGCGAAACACTCTTGACCGGAGACGTCCGCCGTCCTGGTGACAAACTCAGCGCGGTACTTGCTGAGGGCCCCGTTGAGCAATGATCCTGCGCAAAACATGGTTCCTGACGCAGGACCGAAATTGTGCTTATCGAAGATGGCAGTGACCCACGGTATCTGCCCGAGAAAAGTGCTTGCGTATGTACAAGGTCCGTATCCCTCTCCTACGATCCTGCCAATGCCGTCATTCTCTTCCCGGACCTGTCAGAGCCCAGATTAGCGGCACGTCTCACTGTTCCAGGTATCCACCCGATAACAGAGCATGTGGCACTGGTCGGGACATGTGCGTCGTCATTGACGGCGGACATCATTTCCCGTCGAAGGGAAGCACGCTTGAGCAGCTTTCCACACTTACCTAGCGTCGTCTCCCTTTCGTGTCTGCACCTAAATTCTAATTCGAAATCCGGCCCAAGTAAGCTGGTTCAGAGATATTATAGCCAGCAATAATGCGAATATGGAGAGCCATCATTTGCGGAGGGTCGGGCGTGGCATTTCTGGGGTTGACGTTGACGCGCATCGTGCAGGGAATATTGATTGCTGGAAACAACCGCTGGTGGGACTTGGACGAGGTGGACGAGTCATGGTCTCTAGAGAGCTTGCCTAGCGAAGCGCGCCTTCTGGAATCCCGAGAGAAGCCGTGCAATACGAAGGCCCAGGCCAGACATGTTTTCTGGGTTGATCTCGGGAGGGACAGCCATCAAAAGTCTATGCTCCCGAGCAGAGATGAGTCTGGCCCACGTTACCGTGTTGGGTACCCCGGTTGGTTATTGGCCGAGTTTTCGAGACCCTTCGGAGCCCAAAAAAAACCCCAGTGGTTCGTCTTGTCATGTTCTGGGGGCGAAGCCTGCCGTCTTTCGCCATGATTTTACCCTGCTCGTTGTCGCTTGTCAATGCAACCCTTTCTTCCTCTGTTGTCCTCTTCCGAGGCCGTCGTCATCCTCAGAGTTGCAACCGCCGGCGAGGGAAGGCCGGAGAAATCATTGCTGGCCCAAGGCGGCATGCCGCAGAAATAATGCCGCACAGAGGGCTTAAATGATGACATGAGAACGGGATATCTCCAAAAGAAAACCCCACGATAAAGCAGTGGGTAAGCCAGCGAAGTTTGTTCCATCAAAGGAAAGAGAGAGCGTGAGAGTGGGCAGAAAAGAAGTGAGTGAGGGTAAGGTCCAACCCACTTGCAAGCAGAGAGGCGGGGTCAGGTGGGAGTCCGCTGCTCACTGTGCACCTGTTGCAGCCAAGAGAGAGAAACAAGCTGGGCGGCCCTAGGTAAAGCTCAACAACGCAACCCCTCGGTACGTAGCAGCCCACCAGCTCCTCGGGAAACCCTTAGCCCCAACAGGCGACACCATGCTTGAACATCCCACCCCGCGAGGGGCGATCGACAGGTGGTGTCCTCATGGCTCCCACTGTACATTTCGACATCCCACCCTTTTTCCTTTTCCACCTGCGCCGCTGCTGCAACGCCGCCTTGGTGTGCTGCAACTGCGCCTAGTGACACCCGGAGACCCCTACACACCCCTCATTGGTGCCATCTCCACCTCGCTCAAACCGTCCAACGAAAAAAACTATTCTCTTCGTCAATCGACCCTATCCCAGCCGATCAGAGTTCATTCCTTTGACGACCGTCTCCGTTCTATGTATTTTTTGTTCTGCTTGGTTGCGTCTCTTTTCACCTTTTCGTCTTTCTTTTTTTCCCTAGCCCATCGACCCTACCCCCGGTTATCCTGATTCTCTCAATTTTTCCCTTCTCCATTAAACCTCTCCCCCCTCGTCGTTATTCGCTGCCCGCCATTTGCTTCCAGAGTTCCCTCGTTGGCACCCGAAGCCAACTTGGACCCTCTCTGTGCCGCTCGTTCATGGCAGTTACCGTCATAGTATTAATTGCTCGTCAGCGCCACCTGTTGTGGGACTCTTGAAACTCCCGGTCGACGGTTAATTACCCTGTCATCTCCGCGACCTCAGACCTCGTCCATCTTTGACACGGACTTTCGGATCCTTCTGTATAAGGCCTCGGCGGCCCTCGACAGCTCTTCGCTCGCAGAGTCTCATGACGCCGTGACGCCTCGCTTACTTCGGGTTGTACAAACCGCTCTGCATACGCGCTGCTGCCCAAAGCTCGACAGCAAGAACCCTGCGATTCGCCGTCGGGGCGTTGGACGGATACTTTGTTTTGGCTGTTCCTGCACACCAGCCCTTCCTTTCCCCCCGCGTTTCCTACGCCTCAATCCCGGACAACCAGCACATCAGTCGGTAGATGCCGAAACCTGTTTGTCTGATGCCTCAATGTCCACGCGTCATCTATTGAGAATGCCACTATAGACCTCGGAACTTCGAAGCATTTGCCGTTTCATCTGCGCTCTTTTTGCCCCCTTCAACAATCTCCACTCTACACACTACTCGGGCGACCTCCTACCACCATTTCACCCAATACTCTAGAAAAGGACAACTCTCGAGATGTGCAAGGCTCATGTGCTACGGTTTTGTTGTGGACATGGTATTCTGATGGGCTTCGAGATATGCAATTTGGGGCCATGTCCCCTCCTCAAGACGACGGGCGTGAAGCTCCCCCAGCAGCCCTACAAATGCTACAACTGTCAGAACAGGCTTTCGGGCTCGAACCTTCGGCCTGTATCGTCACGAGGATGCTCCTCTTCGTCGACTGGAAGCTTAGATTCCAACTCATCGGGCTCCTCTATCACGCCACCGTCCTCTCCGATGTCTCGAGTACCTTCCAAGGTCGCCGCCCCTCTTCCAGGAGTAGCTCGACAGCCTGCAGAATGTGGGGAGTTAGGACACAGATTCAGTCGATCAACATCATTCTCCTCCAAGGGATTTCGTTTCTCGTGTACCTCATCTTCGCACTACCCGACGCCCCATTACATGGGCTTGCCGACGTATCTACCTCACCAGGATCACCCTTGTCCGCCTTGTCAATTGGAAGAATTCCGCATGAAGGCAGACAGAGACGCCATTGCATCGGCACGGGCGCAATATCCTCACCTCACATGCGAGATGCTGGTAAGAGATGGGCGAAGGTGGGAAGAGTGGCAGACTAAGCCGAGTTTGGAGAAATTTGTCGAAGAGAAGCGGTCAGACGAGAAGCAAATGTGGCTGCACGTCACGAGGAAGTGGACTCAGGATTTGAAGAAGGTGCGGGTTCTTGTAGCCGAGGAAGATGGATTGGGCCTGCTAGGATGAGGGAAATATCGATTGCATTCGGAGTCTGGATTGGCAAAAGGAGGTTTTATGCACTTCCCGGGAGACGAAAAACGGGGAGGATGGCTGGCTTCTCATGATACCCACCGGATGGCTGGCGTCGGAACTTACGGGGAGGGTGTCTTTTTCATTGCTTTCCAGAGAGTATAGGGGATACACAATGCTATCAATGGTCGATATAAGGCACAAGAAGGATATCCAATTCCAACATAACCAGCACTCAAGCATCCACGCTGATGACGTAAAATCGTGCGCTGGTGCCTGCCAAGATCTGGGGTTTGCGCGTCCGGACTCCAGCGAGCAGGGATGTGGGTGTCACTAAGGACATCGTCCGAGTCACCAAGTAGCTTGGTGGATAAGTCAGCAACCCATCGCAGGCAACATCATTCTTTCCATCGTGAAGCTGGTCTTCAGTTGAGCTCATCGATTCTTGCATCTCTCTTAGTAGTTTTGCACACGTCGACGGCTGCAAACATGCGGTTCACGCTGTTGTCGGGCCTCTTGGCGCTGCCTGCCGTTGTCGTCTCCATCGTTATCCTTCCTGAATCCGAAGTCTTCCAGACTCAACCTGGAGCCTCTCTTGACCGGTTGTCCGAGCACGCTGCACACGACGTGCAATTATCACCAAAATATGCCGGAAGGCGGACATCGCATGTTGCTGAAGAGGCGGAGGAGGAGGGTGCAGACAAGCTCAGACTCACCCCCAAAATCGCTTACTCCCCTCATACCGTCGAGAAGATTGTCGAAGACGACTGGGTCAAGGTTACAAGGCTTTCCCCCAAGTATTTCTCAGCCGCGAAGGTAGCCGACGACGGGTCCGACGACGATCAACCTCTTCCCGTGGTGATCTGGCACGGTCTGGGAGACTCGGCTGATGCAAAAGGAATTAAAGAAGTGGCCGCTATGTTGGATAACATCCACCCGGGGACATATACATACATCATCTCCCTGGGAGGTAGCCCCGGCTCTGCAGATCGCCAGGCTTCGTTCTTCGGAAACGTCACCCAACAAGTCGATTCCGTCTGTCACATGCTGGCTGATGACAATATTCTGCGTACGGCACCGGCCGTCGACGCTATTGGATTCAGCCAAGGTGGCGTGTTTCTGAGAGGCTATGTCGAGAGGTGCGGCAACTGGGCACCGAAGGTTCGATCCTTAATCACTTTTGGATCTCCGCACAATGGTATCGCCGAGTTTCAGAAATGCGCCTCGCCATCGGATTGGATTTGTCAAGGCGCCAATGCACTTCTAAAGAGCAGCACTGTCTGGTCCGACTTCATCCAATCGAGACTGGTTCCTGCCCAGTATTACCGCGATACCAAAGACTTTGACAACTACCTCCAGCACTCAAATTATCTGGCGGACATCAACAACGAGCGCACACTCAAGAACGTCACGTACGCCCAAAACTTGGCGACCTTGGAAAGGCTCGTGATGATCCTCTTTTTCAACGACAAGACCCTGATTCCCAAGGAGAGTGCATGGTTCGCAGAATTCAACCAAACCGAAAACTCGGTCACGCCCCTGAGATCTAGGCCTATTTACAAGGAAGACTGGATTGGGCTGAAGAAGTTGGATGAAAAGGGCGGCTTGAGGTTCGTAAGCTTGCCTGGTGACCACATGGAGTTGCGAGCGAAGGATTTGAGGAACTTGTTTGAAGTATACTTTGGACCGGCCGGGAAAGAGTTTGAGGAGCCGCTCGACTCGATGGAGAAGCAGGAAATGAGAATGAAGCCAGAATTGTGATTGATTGACCGTGTTCAGCCTCTAGGCCCTGAGCCTGGGCCTCTGCTTCTTGCGATGATGGATTTTGTAACCTAACTGACTTGGCGAAGCGAAGTTTCGTTTTGGGTAGAGGACTGTAATGCACTTTGCCTCTTGATGAGGATTGCTGTAGCATGCGAGCATTGCTGAACTCCTATTGCTGGATTGACATTGACCCTGACAATCTTGTTTTGACCCCTGCTTCCATTGCCTTTTGCAGCCTCGCAACATCAATAACTCAAGTACACAATCGGAAAACTTACCAGAATTGGAAAATGAGGGAGTGGAGACATAAGAACTTCGTGAGTCAGAACAGCAGCACCATCCTCACAAATTCACCATATATATTATGTGCAGAGTACAGGGTCCTTTGGAAGTGACATTCCCAGAAGCCCCTTCAGCCGTACCACCAGTTCAATTGATCTTTACTGATTTCAACTACGGCCCAACAGGACGCTCGAGGCTCGTACCTTGCGACTCTAGCAGACAGAATGTCTCACGTCGCCCCGGCCGTGGAGACGTCCAAAACATGGACTCGAGATGGCTTCATAATATCAACGGACACATCATTGATCCCTATCGACGCGCTTAATCAGGCCTTTGCCTCGGAGGAGATGTATTGGGCTTCACCACTCCCGGAACCAGTGATGCGTGATATGCTGGATAATTCACTGTCCTTTGGCCTCTACTCGCCTACACCGGAACCGCCTCCGCTGGCAGGTCGAGGTCAGACAGGTACTGCTCTGGCGCCTTCTGACCCTGCGGAGACATTACGTGAGACCGCTACATCTGTCAAACCAGACGTGAGCGGTGATAATACCACAGCCCATCCACGGTCAGAAGGACCAAACCGAGAGGAACAGACGCCTTCGCTTATCGGCTTTGCCCGTTGTATCACCGATCGCGTTACTTTGCTCTATTTAACGGACGTCTTTATCCTCCCTGAATGGCAGGGTCGGGGCCTGGGGAAGTGGCTCATCAGCTGTGTCCAAGAAGTCGTCGAGGACATGCCCCACTTGAGACGGAGTATGTGCATTGTCGGCCATGGGAAAGAGAGAAGCATGGAGTTCTACGGCAAGTTGATGAAGATGACTCCAGTCAAAGAACCCGTGGCTGTTCTCAACTGGAAGGGACCGGGGAACGTGTTCTGAGAATGGACGGGCTTTCCCCTGACCAGAAACAGACCCGTTGAGATACATACTACCACTGAACCTAATATCACCCCATCTTTCAGCTGAATCACACGCTTTTGAGCTGATGTTTGTGTATTCTAGGGCGCGAGCTACTAAGAAAGCCGTTGCTGAAACGCGAATCTCTGTCTAAGATTTTGCACTTCGAGGAAAAAACAGAAGATACTCTGACTGTTCACTCTTCCTCGCGGTCTGTGTTGAAGAATGGCTCGACAGCATGAAACTGTTATCAGACCTCGAGATCCCTGCGCTTCCTGGTAGATGTTCAGTGCCATTCGCAGCTAACACAGGGAACCTGTGACACTTCACGCGTCTCCTTCACTGATTGAGTGAAGATGGTGAGTGAATCCAATCAGATCTGTCAAGGTCAGGTACAAGAACTCGTGAGGCGCGTCTTTCTTTCTATCCAAGAAAAGAGAAACCTCACTTGGAAGCAGATGTGAGTCTTCTTTGACCATACGTCTCCGTTCCATATGTGTGTTCGGCATCCACCCAGCACCCCCCAGCCGAGCAAGATGATGAACTTCAAGGCTGGAGCACGAGGGGTGCCGACACTTGCTCTCCTGCTCCTTTTCAACCTGAATCTGAGCTTCGCAGCAACCCCCGTTTTCGCCTACCCGCCAGGCACGGTTCAAAACGCGAAGCGGAATGTCACGCAGGCGTTCAAAGATGCCTTGACGCTTGCAAAGGTGGTCGCGATAACCGCCACTGACTGTGACCCGGTAAGTGCGAGAGCGGCGGCACCCCGGCCGGCCCTCAAAAAATAAAAATAAAAATTAGCAAACAATCCGCTCATCAGACTAAATCCTTATTTATTTCCCAACGCAGGCGTTTCTGCGATACTTCCAACCACAAGACTACACGTTCGTGCAGCGGGTATTCAGGACGATCGCGAACATGGACCTGTTCATGGAAATCAACGCGCAGGACATCCCGCAGCTGCTGTCGGCCTCGAGTCCGGCCTCGACGTGGAACCCGGACTTCCTCGCCCTGTGCATCGCCTACGGAGACAACCCGTTCAACCCACCCGCAAGTGGCCACTCGTGCCTCGACAGCGGGGACAACGCGTACACCATCTACGACACGAGCGCCGACGCGCGCTTCTCGGGCCTGATCTCGCTGTGTCCCGGGAGCGGACTGTTCACGTACCGCCTCTCACTCAAAGACACGGAGAACCCGCCCGCGTGGGCCAGAGCCGGCGGCGTGCCAGACGGCACACCGCTGCCTGGGTTCGGGTGCGCGGGGCTCGGCGACCGCGACACGGCCTTCATGAAGGTGATCGGATCGACGGTGTTGCACGAGCTCCTGCACTGGCCGTGGATATTCCTCAGCGTGCCGGACTATGACAGGCTCATCCCGGACCACGCCCACCGCATCTGGGACTACGACGGGCCCTGGGTCCCCGGCGGCGCCTACGGCCCGTACAACACCATGCGCATCAACCAGCTTCCCGCGGACCCGCGCACGGGAAAGTCCCAGTCCCTCCAGAACGCGGACAACTACGTCTGGTACGCCCTGTCGCGTTACTGGTCCTTCCGCTGCGGGCGCACCTTCGGCCCCGCCCTGTCCGCCGCCGACGACCAGAATCTGCCGACCCGGGCGAGGGGCCCGGGAGGATAGAAGCTGAAAGCTGTTTGGAGGAGATTTGCGAGAGTGACTCGTGACTTCTTGTTTTGTTCCCGTGGCATGGGCATGAGCATATTACGGGCATGGATGATTCCCGCAAGCCACTCAGTCAGTCACTCAACAAACAGTCCGAAAGAGGGCGAGAAGGGACAAAGATCGAGCACATGGATGGAAGAAAGCGCAAGAGTGGCTAGTGTCGATGTCCCTTTCCCGCTGGAAATTTCAGCGGGCGATATGTGCATCTGCGTTTGATGTGCATA